TTTGCTCAATTTGGGGAAGAGTTTCAATGTTCCGATTCATACCCGTAACGCCGGAAACGCTCTCTGAGGCTTAAGTCTTGAGGATCAAAATAACTTGGAGACGTATCCATGTCGACATTCATTGTAGCGATACCAACTTACAATTTTCTCTGTTAACAAATACTAATGGACCATCTGCGTTTGTGAGGGTTTTGATGAGTAGCTTTAAACCCTAGAAATACAGATTTGAGCGCGGAAAGAAGAAGGTATAGATGATTTAGGGTAAATTATATAACTAGTCCCTAAGTTATGTTTGTTTTTTTTTTTTTTGTAAATCTGCGTGGCCTCTTCTGTCTGCGCCGTGCAGACCACGCGCAGACATTAACCTTCACAAACTGCTTGTTTTTCTGAAGACTGCAGACCTAAAAATGTATGCGCGCCCTCTTCTTAGCGCAGATGTGGACCAGAGTCTTCTAACATCTTCAGACATCTTCTAACCTAAAAAAACACATATATCTATATTTTTTTTAAGTTTTTTTTAATTTATATTTTTTCCAACTTTATTAATGATAAACAATTTGAAAAAAAAATTACAAAACTTAAAAAAAAACGTTCGACGATACAAACATGATATTTTTGACAAATTTATAAATAAAGATTTATTACAATAATAGTCGTTGAAGTTGTTTATATAAATACGAAAAAAAATCAAAATATATTCTTATATTTTTTTGCTAAATTTTGTAAAACATTATTTAATATACTATCGTCAATTTCTCGAGAAAATATTTATGCTACGTTTTTAATGGATTTAATTGAAAAAATCGATGTTTATTTCCATCCATTTATGTATCAAATTCTTTGATCCTTAATTATAATGTTTAGTTATAACTTTGCAACCAAAGTTGTTGGTTTTTATCAAATATATACGTTAATTCATACCATTTTTATTTTTATTTTTTGTACAATAATACATAAAAGTTGATATAGATTTGTTAATTATTTATAACAAAGTCATAAAAATATTAAAAAAAACACTTTGAAGTTTAAAAAAAATCAATTTATTTAGATTTCAGTTTATTTTAGTAGCCCGCAGATGTTAAAAAAACAAACAGTCTTCTTTTTTCAGACTGCAGACGTTTGGTCCACATCTTCTACTGTAAAGGTCTACAGATGTGGTCCGCAGACTGCAGACATTTTGCCTCAGAAAAAACAAACAGCACCTAAATGGCCCGTTATTTATATAAATAACAGGATTTTCCCTTGAATAATATTAAATGAAAATAGATTGTTGCTTTTTGTATTAAACTCTTTTTAATATTTAAATATGGATTGTCTCAATTTATTTTTAGGATTAATGACTTGTAAAAGTAATGAACTTTGTCATATGTATACATTTAGTCGTTATTTTTTTTTGTACGTGATTACTGTTGAACTTGTTTAAAGTGTTTGAAATACCGACAATTGTAAACTTTGTTGGTTTCTGACGTCTCTAGCATCTTCATCGAATCTCTAGTCATCTTCTTTAGTCATACATGAATTCTCTAGCAACCAAGGTCAAGAACATCAATATATGTGTCCGTGTTCATCCCCTTGAAAAATCGTATCCACCCCATTCAAATTTCAAGTCCCAATATGCAAGCTCAAGAAATCTAGTTTTGAGTTTGTTTTCAAAAATCGTGTCTGCCCCTTTAGAAAATCAAGATACGTCTGTGTTCGTGATCGTCGTGTTCGTGATCGTCTCCTTCGAAAAAAATTGTATTCATCTTCGTCATGTGTTTAAGCATAAAATCCAACTTCAAAAATAGCTCATAAATCTAGGTTCAAAAACACTATGGATCTGGTCTTCAAAATGTCGGTTTAAAACCCTTCATGTATGAATATGCAAGTTCAAGAACATCTAGATTTTAAGAGTGGATGTGTGTATGTGTGTTTATCTGTTTATATAGTTTATCCCATATCCGATCAAAGTCTCATTTTCTTATGTTCATCTCAAATCTAATCAAAACTCACGAAAAAAAAACTCTTCTCAAACCTTCTTATTTGTATGTGTTTTTTTCATAAACAAAAATTATAAAAAAAAACATAAATCATTTATGGTTTTTTTATTTTTAAGATCGAAAAACACGAATCGATTTTGTGATGGAGATGAACATACAAATTTGTTTGTGATGAACCCCAACATCCTTCATATCTTTTCTTTTTTCTACATATCTTTAGTGGTTTTGTTCAAGTTAGATTGTGTGTGTGTTCAAGAACAAACTCACGTGTGTGTGTTTGTTCATGTGTTTTAATTGATGAAAAACTCAAAAACTCAAGATGTGATTGATGTGTGTATGTTCATGTATTGGATTTCTTGTTGAAGAACAGATTCATAATGTGCCTTTTTCTTGAGTCTGTTAGAGCGATCGGTATGGGCCAAAACGAGAAACGACGAGGGTGACGTGGTCGTTCTCGACGCCGTCGTAACGGGGGGAACACCGCCCCCCCCCCCAACTCGTTGCATATCGTCGTCCGCTTCTCGTTGCCATGGAAACGAAGTGTAACGCCAAAAAGGGAAAAAAATATATGCCTTTAATTGTAATCGTAGTTTTAGATTTTAAATATTATGCCTTTTTTTGTTTTTAAAATTTTATGTTTTATAAAAAATATATTTATGTTAGTGATTAAAAAAAATACAAAAAGGAAAGAAAAAAAAACGAAAAAGAAAAAAAAAGTAAAAAAAAACGAAAAAGAAAAAAAAAACAATTTCGAAAAAATAAAAATAAAAAATAAAACATATTTATTTTCAAAACGTTGGTGTTGCATCTTGTTGCCCGTTTCCCCACTTGGTGTTATGACACAACTTGCTTATGTGGCATATGAGGTGGCATATGAGGTGGCACAACTTGGTGTTGCACCTTGTTGCCCACACCTAATACTCTTAATGACCATAGGATTTTTGGTTGTCGAAAATTCTTAATGATGAGAGAAGATAATCAGAAACACACTAGACAGCTAAATTAAACAAATTCAATGCTAAGTGGTATAAAAATAAAAAAATAAAATAAAAAATTTAATATAGGTTTCAAAATGTTTCACTTTCTTAAAATAATTTTGTTTATAACTAAAAGCGAATATTTTAAAACAATATAAAGGTTATATACAAACACCGGCTTCATCTCCACCGTCCGTCCGCCCCATCCCTTAACCAGAAATCGTAGTGTCTGCTAAGTCGAAGCGCAACTGGTTTATCTACAGACAACAATGACGGTGGTCGCCGGTTGCTCCACCTGTGCTCTTCCCCGACCAATTTCAACTCCGTCTCACCGGATAACCTACGGTCAGGAATCTTTTCGATCACACCCTGCTAAACAATCGTTATCTGCCAACATTTCTGCAAAATTATATTTCATCATAGCGACTCCACACTTCCCATCTTTTTACTTACTGCATAATTTCCCCAATTTTATGTCGAAGTTTGCGATCTACTTTTGTTATATCAAGTTCCTTTCAATTTGCAAGTCAATTAGTTCGATGGGTTTTTAGGGTCCTGCCCTTCGATTCGTGCTTCAAAACTGCATACAATACTTCAATCGACAATTTTCTGATTTTTTAGATGATATGAAAGCGATAAGTAGCTTTTTAATCGCTTGTTTCTACTTCTTTTTGAAGGAAAGCTTGTTCCTCTTGTCCAAAACTTCAGAACCTCCCATGGAGTTTCGCTCGTCATCAATGCTATGCAAAAGAAGCTAGATCAATGTGCAGCATCAACAACAAATGAAACTGGTCAACAATTCTATGGCCCCTTGGGTTTAAACCAGGTATGATTGTTCATTCCCATCAAAAAAATTCTAATTTACAGGTTTAATTGAATTATTTCATGTTCATCATTTGGTAGAAATTGGGAATGGGAATGGGGTTTGTAGGAATCAGTAACGCATTGTTATTAGCTACACCTTTAGAAGCCATGGCAGACACCTCTGATGCAACACAGTCTATCTTTAACATGAACATGCCTGTGTTACTACTTGTTGCCCTCATTGGAGCCACTGTTGGAGGTAAGTAACATTCAGTTTGCATTGATGCATTCATTGTATTATTATAAATTATAAAGAAAAACCATTCTCAAATTGTGAAAATTTTTGCAGGATTACTTGCTAGACAAAGAAAAGCAGAATTACAGAGGCTAAATGAACAGCTTCGTCAGATCAATGCAGCCTTAAAAAGACAAGCAAAGATAGAATCATATGCACCTGCTTTAAGTTATGCTCCTGCTGCCATTAAAATACCTGAAAATGAAGTCTTTGTTGATCCAAGAAAGCAAGAGTTGATATCTCATCTCAAAAACGGGAAAAACTTTCTCAGAAATCAAAAACCAGAAAATGCGTTCTTTGAGTTTAAAACCGCTCTTGAGCTTGCTCAGAAGATTAAAGATCCAATTGAGGAAAAAAAGGCTGCAAGAGGACTAGGTTTCCTTTTTGCAATATTTCCTCTTTTCTTTCACATTTAACAAACGACAACTATACCTAATTTTAATATATTTTTTATTCATTTTTCAGGAGCATCAATGCAGAGGCAAGGAAAGCATCGAGAAGCCATTAAATACCATTCGATGGTTTTATCAATTTCAGAAAGAGAAGGTGAGGACTCAGGGAACACAGAAGCGTATGGAGCAATAGCTGATTGTTACACTGAGCTTGGTGACTTAGAAAAAGCAGCAACTTTCTATGATCAATACATTGCTAGATTACAAGCCGATTGATGATTGATTCATCTGTTTCTTTACCACCATCATGTATGGAAGTTTTGTAGTAGAGGCTTGTAATATGGTTAATGGTTGTTTCCAACTGGTGTTACCCACAAGCAACTTTCTTGAAATTTATGTTTTCTTGATGATTTATAAAAAAGACATTATGGATGTTTTTGTCTATCATATTTTTTTTATTCAAAAAGCAGACATGTAATTATGTATCCATACTCAACCAATATATAACAATCTACCAAAAAAAAAAAAAAAAAAAAAAAAAAAAAAAAAAAAGGTGGAAGGAAAACAACTGCCACATAAAACTCAACAAAACAATACATAAGAAAAAATATATTAAAAAAAAAAAAGTTAAAACGCCACATAATCTCACTGATAATACATAAGTTGTTGGGCAGCAGCAACACCCTGGAAACCACCATCGTACATCGCCTGACTTGAACCACCACCACCACCTATACCCAGATGATGTTGTCTTTGTGGGTGGTGGTGGTGGTGCATAAGATGGGTGGGGTGGTGGACCCCACCCATCCTGCTCATTGCTAATAAATTAGCAGCTGAAAGCATTGGGGCGGGACCCGGTGGTGGAAGTGGGTTTGAGCTCGTTCCTGGTGGAGTCGGCTTGCTTCCCCATGAACACTATCAAACACCAAAAAGATTATGATTTTTTTTTATAAAACATTGAAAATGAATTTTATTAATTAAAAAAAAATGTACCTTGATTTGTTTGCCAAAAAGAATAGATCGAGTGTTTCCCATTTGAATAGCAAGCGCAGCCTCAGTGTGGTTACTGTATCGAACAAAACCAAAACCTTTGTCACGCTGCACACGCACTTCCTCAATCACCCCAGCACCTAGGGCATGAAAATGTCGATGTAGCTCAAGCTGTGTAACCTATATTTTAAAAAGAATAAATTTATTCATTTCCATTATTATACAAATATAGATATAGATATAGATATACAGATAAATTGTAGGATTAAGAGGTCTTACTTCAGGGCCAAGGTTGCCAACATAAACGGTTGTGTACTGTGGATTATTCTCAGGGGCATCACTATCACTTGGCTCTTTAGTATCCTCTATAAAACAAAACAAAATATATATACATAAAAAAAATGACAACTTTTGATAGTTTTAATTTATAATTATGCCTAGAGTATTGCATACCTAAAGATCCATTTGTTAGCTCTACCACACTTTTTGAATCTGAACCTTGTCTTTCATCATTAATACCAGCGCCTTTTGTAGCCCAATTACATCTTATCTGCCTACTCCCAAGCCATTTCCCTAAAAATAAAAACACGTAAATGTTCTAAAATCAAGTTAAATCAAAACTCAATGCTAAAAATAGTATTTGAACATGTGTGACAGTGTGTCACGCTTACCAGTTAAGTCATTTATTGCGCTTTGAGCATCCTAAAAAAGGAATAACGTTAGATTTTTTTTCGCTTAAATATAATTTTTTGCATCAAGAGACGAATAACAAATAGTCTTCCAGAATGTTCTAGAAAGAATATTAATATAACCTGTTGGTTTCGAAAAGAAACAAACCCAAAACCTCTTGAACGTCCAGTTTTCTGGTCCCACATAACCCTCGCATCCCTAATACATGAAAAATAAAAGTATATATATAAATATATGTATAAATGTATGTACATATATGTATAATTATATGTATGTATAGAGAGATAAAACATGTACTCACGAACAGCTAGAATAGACAGAGAAGCATGCATACAACATAGCATCAGTAACCTCGGGGCTAAGATCACCAACAAATATGTTATAATGACCTTAAAAGGAAGAAAGTGATAATGTCATGAGGAAAGAATGTAAAAAATAATATGGGTATAAAAATTATTTCCAAAAAGGGTATTAATATTAAGTCCTACCTGATGTGTCCTCCCTTTGTCCAGTGACATATGCCCAATTAACTTTGATAGGTTGTCCAAACCTGCAAAACTTATTTGATAAGAGGAATGTTTTGAAGTGAAATTGCAGTGCAGAATATACCTCTATGAACACACCACTTACAAATGCCTTCCATTTAGAGACACTATTGCAAGTGCAGCAAATCTTCGATCAAAATAGTGAATGAATCCATATGATGACTACAGATATGAAAACAATTATATAAATATTATTTATAATTTCTTGAAAAAACAGCAAGAAAGTAGTCAAAAATAGGTACTTTGTCTTTTCTTATAAGTTTGCAGCTTTCAACGGGACCAGTGCTTGCAAAAACCTCTTGAAGAAGTGGTTCAGTCACTTGTGTATGAATATTTCCCACATACCTGCATTTTTCTCAAAATAAAACAGGATTAAGTGGGCCCAAGTGGGATTTTTATTAAAAAAAGAAAGTTTTCATGATGATCAAACATGGAAAAATGAAAAGGATAATAAGAAGCCAGATGTAAACTACTTACACACTGCGGCATGTGTTTGGATCAAACCCAGGAGGTAAATTTCCACTTGGTATTGGTTCAATCTGCAAAATGAAAAGGTGAAAAATGAATTTCATCGAGAGGATTCAAAATGTGATATTTTAGTAGCCAACAGACAAAAAGACCTGTGATTCAATCAAAACAGAATGGAACTAATAAAAGAAACTCGGCATCATCGATAGAACAAAAATCAAAAACCAAACTCCCAAAAAAGATGAAGTCACAAGCATTCACCAGCTAAAATTAAAACGCAGCTAAAATGAGCTCCAAGAGCGGCCATTAACAATTCATGATCAATCACAAAATCAAAAATTGAACAACATGAGGATGAAGTCAGAAGTACTTTTTATATTTTACTAGCCAGCAGGCTAAGAAAACACTGATTCTCTCAAATTAAAAACGCAACTATCCAGAAGCTCTAAAACGACCATCATCAATCGATAATCAGACAAAAAACGAAAACCCTAAACTCCAAATGACATTATTAACAGACGAAGGATGAAGTCAGAAGCATGTGTATAAGTGGCGATAAATTACAAAACTGAAACAGTGTTTGGTGCGAACCTGTGGTGGAGCCAATAGGCCAGGATGATAAAGAGATTGTTGTTGAAGGAGAGCTTGCTGCATCAAAGATTGTTGTTGTTGTTGCTGTTTCAGTCTCTGATGTTGATGTTGCATTATTGACGAATACAAATCTGCTCTGCTTCAGGATCGAGTAAAATTCAGTGATTTGGGGGGTTAGGGTTTCGATACTCCGCGTGGGAGAAACAGAACGACCAATGGAAAGCCCAAGAAGAAATAAACAGACCTGAACAGGACACTAGTACAAACTTAACCTTGTACTATGACTATATTAACGTTTCACCCCTCCACATTTGTTATGTACATCAAAATTTTAATTTCTTTTACACATGACGTTAACAAAAGTTTCAATATAGCACGAATAAGACAAAAGTTTGGGTATCAAAGTGTGATATGTTTGTTTGAGTTTTTGTACGTCACACAAAAGTTTTAATATAGCACTAATAAGATACAGTATGATGTAATCTAACAAAAAAAAGAATCGAACATTCTTTTTGGAGGTTTAAGTATGCCCAAGAGGATGGGGATGAATGCGCTCCATCTTATTGTAACCATGACATTGAAGTGGAGTCGAATGGCTTATTGGGATGAGATATCGGAGATTGTGAATGACAAATATGGTAAGGAGATATCGGAGATTGTGAATGACAAATATAATAAGGTAAGGATATCAACAACAATGTAACTGGCAATAAGGAATATGAATAATAATTGCACTGAGACCATGACATAAATCAATAGAACATATTGAACCCCGACTCATACAACATGTTTGATAAGGGGAAATGACATAAATGCCCTACAAAGTTTCTAGGGTTAGTCAATTTAGTTCCTATAGTTTTTGTCGGGCTTTATGAGTCCCTAAACTAGGATACGACCTGCTCTTTTAGTATCTGATAACCTATAATAGCTGGTTCACCATGCGACAGTGACCATTTAGACCAAAAAAACTCACATTGTGCCCCTATAAAACTAAAAAAATAAGTTTGGGGATCAAATGCTAGTCTCACCTTCACCTCCACCCGATACCACCCTTTTTTCCACCTTCTTCACAATCCTCCTCCGTCAACCCGTCACCCTACTTGAACCAACTGTTCATCAACATTTTATTCGGCCATTACAACCACCATAAGCCACATTAATCACCATCGAATCGATATCACAACAACCCAATCCAACCACCCTTATTCCTCCCCTTTGTTTCGTGAAATTAGCCACCACCGGAGCACCCATAACCCACAAAAACCACCAGTCAGCCACCATAACCAATCACCTGCAAACCGAAGAAAAAAAAAGATTAACTCTCGTTTTCTCTATGAACCTCATCAAACCCACGTATACTTCTCAACCCGCATCCATCAAACCTGCAACTCGGATGGGAGAATGAGAGGTAGCTTGTACGATTTTGAACAGAGAATAAGGAAGGAGGGGGTCAATTCCTTGAAGAGCTGAAACCGAATCAAATAAAAGAGTGAAGGGGGCTGTGATCGAGAATCGATTAGAAGGAGAAGAGGGCTGTGATCTTCGGTGAGTGTAGCGATCGATTTCTTGGGAGGGTACGAATTGAGTGTGAATCGACTTTAGAATAAAAGAAGGAGAGTTAATAAAGTCGATTTTTGTTGCTGGATGCTGGTATACACGAAGACGCACAAGAAATCGAATGGGCTGCTATCTTTCATTTTTCTCCCAAATCACTTCGATCTTGTGGCATAAGCATTTGATCCCCGAACTTATTTTTTTTGGCTTTATAGGGACACAATGTAAGTTTTTTTTTTTTTTGTCTAAATGGTCACTGTCGCATGGTGAACCGGCTGTTACAAGTTGACAAAGACTAAAAGAGCAGGTGGTATCCTAGTTTAGGGACCCATAAAGCCCGACAAAAACTTTAGAGACTGAATCGACTAATCCTAGAAACTTTATAGGATATTTGTGTCATTTCCTGTTTGATAATGATGATGATAGTTCGATACCCATGAACAACATTCATGGTTAATATGTTAATTCAATTCATGAGAAAATAAAAATTCAAATAATAAATCGAATAGTGAGCCCATCCTAATAAATTTGGACATAGTTGTTATGGAGCCCAATCCAAATGACTTTGGTTCCAATGATAATTAAAAATAGCAATAAAAATCATTTGACGATACAATGTCACTAATAACGAGAAAAAAAATTCTTTTGTTTCCGGCTTTATCACTCTCCATAATAATGTCCAATTCCGTTTGTTGGAAATGAAAGAGGATGAGAAAATAACGGATCAAAGGATGGGAGTTCAATGAACTAATACAATATATATATATATATATATATATATATATATATATATATATATATATATATATATATATATATATAGAGAGAGAGAGAGAGAGAATAAAAAATTAGGACATCAAAGTAATGATCAATGCCAATTCGAGTAATTGTTTTGTCTTGGAGGAGTCCCCACTCCAAAGTTGCTCTACCAAGAAGAGAGATACGCAGATCATGTTTTCATTAGATGCGATTTTGTGAAGCCTATTTGGTCTTGACTCCAAAACTGGTGTAATATAGATATCGGGCCTAAGGTCTCAATGGTTGATCTGATTAATATAATTGATTCAATGAAACAAGGCCCCACATGAAATCGGTTTTTTCTTTCTATTGGTTCATTTCGTCTTATGGTCTATTTGGAAGGCAATGAATTGCATTTATTTAGAAAATCAAGATTCAACCCAATGAAAACGGTGTATAAAATACAAATTAATTTGTTCAATTGGGTTAAGCATAGGACACATATTCTTCGTGTTGTTCACCTTTTATTTACGGCCATTCCTAATTGCCTTGTAATGCTTTGTTGTTGCTAGTTTCTTGTTAGCCGCTTTATAACTTTATTTATAATACGCCTTTAAAAAAAGCATTACGAGGATCGTAGGAAACAAGTGCGGCTTTGCATAAATTAAAAGGCAAAGTGGTGTTCTCAACCAAATATTTGGAATTTTTACTTTACTTTTCTTTAATGACTTATGGTCTTAAACTGTATATTCCAAATCATCAACTAAATCTTTAAACATATTTTGACAGATTTAACAAAAACACTTTCACTTCTTCTTTGTTCAAACAAAACAACAGTTTCACAGATTCAACCTCTCAACAAGTTACAAACTCACTAAGAAAACGTTTTAACTACAAAGCTTAAGAGTCACTGCAACTCTAAGCTAAGAAACCATAAATCTCTTTACAAACTAAGAGAGAAATTAAAGGATGATGACGGAGGAGTTGATCTGAATGAACAGAATCGATGAAGATATTCATACTTCGTATTACTTTCAACCTCAATCTTTCTGCTATCTTCTACTTTATACCCTTGCACAAAACCTTCTAAGTTAATAAAAATTAATATAACAAACTAACAGTTCCAAAGATAAGATTGTAGAATATTAATTTATACCTTTTAATACTATACAAGTCATAAAGCACATTGTTTCGTTACATGAATTTTAAACATGAAAAATAAACTGTCATCGAGTTTTTTAATATTTACTAGCCTTATTGAAGATTTTCATTTAAAATAAATTTGATAAAGATAGAATCAATTTTAAGGTTTCTCGTGACGTATTTAAACAACATTATAAACTTCACTGCCTTTTTTTTATATGTTATCGTTATAAAATTTATTTAAGAGTAAATTATGTGAATGGTCCTTATGGTTTTGGGTAATCTGCAAGCTTAGCCCTAATTATTTATCTTAACTTGGAAGAATGAAGATTCCTAAAATGTAATTTTGTTGCGCGTTTGGTCACTGCCAGACTTAAAAAGACTATATTGTGCTTCTTTATTTCTTTTTAATTGGTTTATTATTTATTTCTAGTTCTTTTTATTAAAAAATATTTAATATATAAAGTGGGTCCACCCCTTACCTTCATCAATACCCTTTTTATATGCCACCGCCACCCACCCTTCCTCTCTCTCCTTTTTTTTCACGGTCACATGTATCTCTCCTCTGTCGATTACATTTGGGAATCATAAATCATAAAATCAAGAGGTAGTAGAAATAGAAGTCGTCGATTACATCTTGAATGGTGGTTTCTGTGAGCCTCGATTACTCCCTTCCTGATTCCATGGAGTCGACACTTTGTTTCTCTTTGTCGCATCAATGATTCTTCTCTCGTAGAGGAACGATGGTAAAGGCCAGGATGAGTGTTGTTTATGGGAGGAAATATTTAAGATAACGAGGGGAAAATAGGGAGGGTATCTATGATTCGGAATCTCATGTACTCTTAATGTTTGATTTTCACTTCATAATATCAATTATTATAGCGAGGGGGAAATAGGGAGGGGAAAATAGTGTCGATTACATCTCAAAATCATAAACCATAAAATCAAGGGGGTAGTAGAAATAGAAACTGTCGATTACATCTTGAATGGTGGTTTCTGTGAGCCTCGATTACTCCATTCCTGATTCCATGGAGTCGACACTTTGTTTCTCTTTGTCACATCAATGATGCTTCTCATAGAGCAACGATGGTGAAGGCCAAGATGAGTGTTGTTAATGGGAGGACAAATTTAAGATAGCGAGGGGAAAATAGGGAGGGTATCTATGATTCGTAATCTCATGTACTCTTAATGTTTGATTTGCACTTCATAATATGTGATCGAGGATTCTTCATCTTTATATATCATTGTCTATTCATTGATTTATACACATAAAAACATCACTTTGTATATATGTTTGTTCGCTTGAATCTTGCACCCAGAAACAAATTTGTTTTTCTGAGTTGTACATTAGGTTTTGAGATACTGAAATTGATTTTGAAATTAGATGAAAACAATTATTTAGATGGATTAAATAGTTGTTTATGTTAGGATGTAAATATTCATTTTCCATTTATTATGTATATCATCCTTGTTTAAAATATCCCATGTATGTTTTCCATAGTTAAGATATTCTTTGTATACATAGTTAGGATATTCTTTGTATATTTTCCTAATTTATCTCCTGTATTATTTTCTATATAATTGAAGTTCTATGTAAACCCAATTCATGGGTGATTATCATCACATGGTATCAGAGCAAAAACCCTTAAACATTATCACACGTTTTTTTTCTTGCTAGCAACCGCCGCAACCCTCTCTCTTCATCATGGCTAAATCATACTCTGCTCTTTCATATTCCACCTTAATTCATATGTTAACTCTCAAGTTAACATCCACGAATTATTCACTCTGGAAGAATCAGGTAGAGACATTGTTCCAAGAACAAGATAATTTTCTTGATGGTTCTGCCAAGCCTTCTATTTCTACAGGTTAGACCATTGATGTTGCGAAATCCAAAGCCGAGTTTGACACTAAAGACAAGTGCATTCTCAGTCTCTTGCTCTTATCTCTCTCTGTTGAAGCCATGGTTGAAACCTTAGGTTGCAAAACCTTTGCTGTTGTCTGGCACACCCTTGAGATTGCTTATAGTCTCGCATCAGAAGCCCGTGAAATCGAACTCAATGAATAACTTCAACATATGCGTCAGGGGTCGTGTTTTGTTCAAGAATATGGGAAAGATTTCACCACCGTTTGTGAACAACTTGCAGCTATTGGAGCACCATCCACAAACACACATAAATTCCATTGGTTCTTATGTGGTCTAGGTCCTGGTTTTGCTACTTATTGACATGCTCAAATCAACAAACAACCTCTGCATGATTTTCGCGAAGTCAAGTCTGGTGCTTCTACTTTTGATACATTCCAATGTTCCAATGAGGATTCTTCTCTGACATCTGTTGCATACATGGCTGCTACTACATCTTTACCGCCCACCAGTTCAACAACAATTGTCAACAGCCTTCTCGAGGTGGTCGATCACACTAAGGTGGTCAAAACAGATCCAATAATAGCCGAAATAAAAACAACTCCAACCGCAACAACTACAACCATGGTCGTCGTCAGTATATTCCAAAGTGCCAGATTTTCAAATTAGAAGGCCATTATGCTCCTGAATGTAAAGATCGCTACTATTGTTGGATAAGGTGTCTAAGTCCGTAACTATATTTGGTATGTACTTGACCTGACCCGACATGGTCCATTTGGGTTGCACTTCACCAAAACAATTTGTATGGATAATCTTTTGAGAATAGTATATTTATGATTTATTAATATAATATATTAATATCATATTATTTAATTAGTATTGATCAATAATTAATTTGGTGATCAAAAGAGACTAATTAAATGTGGACTCTTATATATATATAGAATGGGCCAATGTTCATTTAGGATGGACTAAGCTTGCATGGATAGTCCATGGAGTTTTTAACCCATGGATCCTATGGAAATGAAAGGTCATGGGTATTAGGGTTTACATGGATGTAACCCTAATCCACCATACTATATAAAGAGGTCTTTGGCACATGAAATGACACTAGTGTGTGTGAGAACAAAGGTGGGCCGATTTCTACAAGTGCATACTATTCTCTCAAGTTTTCCAAGTTGGTTTGGTGATTTGTGATTCTACTTGAGGCATCCACATTATTGGTGCTAGGCTCTTGAAGCTCCAAGCAATCAACCACAAGAAAAAGGTATGTTATTCTACTAAAGTTTTATATTACAAGTACCCCATAACATGCTAATTAGGTTGAGAACCTTGGAAAATCAAATTTGCATGTATATTAGAGAAAACATAGATCCAAGGTTTCTAGGGTTGCATGTACACCATAGGAGTGTTAGAATGCTCAAAACCCTTCAGTGGTATCAGAGCCTAGGCTTGTTTTCATTACACTTGATGCAAATTACTGAAAAATGTCGAAATTTTGCTCACTGTTCAGTGAACTCGCCGAGTCCATGGGGGGACTCGACGAGTCCAAGTGAAACTTCATCCTACTCGTCGAGTAGGTTCTTGCACTCGGCGAGTATGAGGCCCTGTGTGCAGATTTTCGAGTTTTGTTGCTGGAATTGGACTAGAATCATTACCCTAAACTGTTTTGGACTTGTAAAATCTGTTTTTGATGTGGTAATGATTATGCTAATCCAATTTCAATGATATTTATCAAAGTTTCAAGTTTATATATGTTTATATAATTCTTGAAATTTGTTGATATGAATGTTCATGCTTATGAGTTTTGGTAGATCATAGGAATTATTTGCAAATTGTTTGTTAGTGTAATTCTTGATCTAAATGCCAATTAATGGACTCCATAACTTGTCCACAAGTTATGGAATTCCAAAAGTCTCTTCTTTAAAACCACTAAAACTCATAAGTTATAGAAATGAAAAGTCTTGAATAGTTTCAAAACTTGCCCTCAAGTCTTGGAATTTGTAAAGTCTCACACACACTTTAATTCCAAACCCTAGAGTTTTAAAAGGTTTAAAATTCAACCCTTATACTTAATAGTATTATAAGATAATATATATATATATATATATATAATATATATATATATATATATATATATATATGTGTGTGTGTGTGTGTGTGTGTATAAGATCAAGTTAGTCTTACCGTTAGTAGGCCTCATTCACGAAGCCGGTCTATAAGGGGGGTATAAGGTTGTTGCCTATAAAATGGTAGCTTAATGGGTGTCCACTCTCACCCACCGCTTCCTTGACTGGTGGAGGGTCGTTAGCCGAACGGGTAGGACAAGGACTATAAATTTCATTAAAAGTATAACGATGATGATAAATTAACTAAACCTTTTATAAATTCCCAATCTTAGTTACTTTAGGAAAATGTGAATTTGGTGCTAACCCATGGAATTACACTTTGTACCTTACCAAGTCGTTAGTGGAGCGTGTGTGGTTAACCCGCACACTAACATGGACTAGTAAGTGTGGCAAAGGGTAACTTAATGTTTATCATAGATCGGTGGAGCACATGTTGTTAACCGACACATCGATTAGGTGATAAAATTAAGGGTACCAAGTTAATTTGCATGGTTATTCACACCTTGTTTGTGATCCTCGGCATCCCAGTCACAAACTTGAGAGGGCACAATCGAGATTTAAACATGCAATTGAAAAGTTCAATGAATCTCAAAAGATCTAGGAGTTTCAATCCAATTAAAACCTAATATCCAATTCGTTTTTCATGGTGGAAATTGGTGAATCGTCATTCGCCTACCTTAGAATATTTTTTAGCTTGGATTACGGCATCCCTCTTCCAAGTTATAAAGTATTGTGTTGGGTCCTAGCCTTAATATTACATTTGGGTGTCTTATTAAGGATTCTTTATCTGATCTAAACTTGTCTTTCTTCTTTTCAGATGTTTTCCAACAATGCTGCTTCTGGCTCAAACCCAAAAGGCTCATTCTCTCTCATGAACCTTTGTGGGAGAGTCGTCTTTGATGGTTCAAACTTTAATGATTGGATCAGGAACATCAAAATGGTCACACGTTACGAGGACAAGGAATATGTCCTTGACAAGGAGCTGAAAGAAATTGATGAGTCTTCTACTACTCCACAGGAGATCGCTGACTTTAGGGCTCATGAGAGAGATGTCACCAAGGTGGCATGTATCATGAGATGCACATTGACCTGATGGAAAGATACCATCAGAATGCCTGTCAAGAGAGGTATGAAATCATCTCCTCCATGATAACAGCCCAAATGAAGGATGGTGAACCCATCACGGGCCACATGCAGAAAATGCAAAGGTTTGTGGACCGTTTGCTGAAGTTGAATGTGAACTTCCTCGAGGAGTTGGCTATTGACATCATACTGCACTCATTACCTCCATGTTATGACCAGTTCCGAATAACCTATCATATGAACAAGGAGTAGGTCACACTCAGCAAGCTTCAATGACTCTTAAAGACCGCCGAAAGTAGTCTCAAAGGTAAATCGGTTGTTACTACTCCTACTCCTAACACCGCCCCTATTCTGGCAATCGGGCAAAGTAGAGGGAAGAAGAGGAAGACCCCTTCGAATGGTACCAAGGGAAAGTCTCTTTATGGATCCTCTTCGAGTGGAACCAAAGGTGGTTCTGTCACTCCTTCTTCCAACCCAAAGGAAGTTGAATGCTTCTATTGTCATGACAAGGGCACTGGAAACGAATCTGTCCCAAGTACCTGCAAGATGTTAAGGATGGGAAGGTCAAACCTACCCATGCAGGTATTTACACTATATTGTCTAATAACTTACCGCATACCAATTCTTGGGTCCTTGATACAGGTTGTGGTATTTATATATGTTCTGATTTGCAGGGCCTAAGAAGAAGTGAGGATGTGGAGCACGGAAAGATAAACTTAATCATGGGGAATAGGAAAGCTTCACCTGTCACCAAGATTGGAGTTTATTCTTTGTTGCTAAGTAGTGGGTTAATGTTGTTGGATAAGGTGTCTAAGTCCATAACTTATTTGGTATATACTTGACCCGACCCGGCATGGTCCATTTGGGTTGCACTTCACCCAAACTGTTTATGGATAATTTTTATGAGAATTGTATACTTACGATTTATTAATATATTATAAGTTATAATATATTAATATAAAGTCATGTTATTTAATTAGTTTTAATCTTGAATTAATTATGAATTGATTTAGTGATTAAAAGGAAGACTAATTAAATCATGGGCTATTGTATTTATATGGTGTGGGCTAATGCTCATTTGTTAATGGGCTAAGCTTATATGGAAGTCCATGGATGATCCATGGAGCTTTTAACCCATGGATCCTTGGAAGAGGAAAAGACATGGGTTATTAGGGTTTCACCCTAACCATGCACACTATATAAACAAGCTTATGTTGCATGAAAAACACCCTAAGTGTGTGTGTAAGTGTGGTGGCCAAAATCAAGAGTTAGTATACTCTCTCATACATTTTCCAAGTTTGTGGTGATTTGTGATTTCCATTTGAGGCATTCACATTATTGGTGCTTGGCTCTCAAACTCCAAGGAATCAACAATCAACAAAAAGTATGTAATTCATCTAGTTCTTTTATGGTTAAAAGTACCCCATGCCATGCTAGATAGGTTATAAACCTTGGAAAATAATATTTTGCATGTATCTTAGACAAACATAGATCCAAGGTTTAATAGGGTTGCATGTACACTTAGGAAGTGTTAGAATGCTCAAAACCCAACAAATGTTAGATTTGAATAAGTGTTATTACTCGTCTGAAATGGCGAGAAATATTATTTCTTTTCACGGTTTGTACAAACAAGGGTTTACTTTTTCATTTGATAATAAATGTGGTGGTATTAATGCTTTTTATAATAATGTTCTTTATTTTAAAGCATTACCTTGTGATGGTGTATATGAAACTGTGTCAGTTGTAGACAACTTAGGAAATAATGTGTTGTATATCGATTCTTCCACTAGTTTGGATAAGGCATCCTTGTGGCATTTTCGTCTTGGACATGTCAACAAGAAGCGCATAGGCCAACTCCAAAAGGCTGGAGTCTTGGAGTCATTTGACTTAAAGTCAGATGATAGTTGCGAATCTTGTTTACTTGGAAAAATGACAAAGTCACCCTTCACTGGTACTTGTGCTAGGGGTGAAGGTTTGTTGGACCTCATACAC